TGTAAGCTCTACCCCCAACAACATAGGCTGCTCCGAAGTATTTCTTGGTGTCGCCTAGCTTACAGATTCTCACTGTTAAGATTTCTTCCTTCCTACCACATTAACGTCAATCCCACTACTACTTTCGATTTTATTAATATTTATGTAGCATTATTTTCAATTTATTCACGGTTCCATGTGTAATCCTTTCAGTAATGTTAAAAGCAACAACAAAGCCCCATTGCTTTGAAGCACCTGCTTTTCCCGCAGAGATTCCCTGAACTCGGATAGCAGCCCCTTTCTGGGACTCACTAGCTTTCTCCGTTCTTTAAGTCATAGTCCTGCCTCCACGCGGGGTGAAAACAAACAGGATTGCCAGTTACTCCTGGGATGCCAGCAGAAGATCACACCTCTCGGTATGATGGCATGCTAGACAGCAAGGGTTAAAAGCAGGAAGCACTTGCTGCTGAGTGCTGCTGGTCTTTCCAGCAAGAGACAGAAGCCAGGTGAACTAGAGAAAGAGAGGAAACGAAAGCAGGACCGTTGACCCTGGATGGATCGGTAACCATTGACCAGTGTCAGTGATACCTGAACAAGCGGAGGTCTGGCAGGTAGCCACACTATAACAAGTTTTATTTCAGTATGTACCAGATAGAAGGAAGAACTGTGTGTGTGGCCCAGCAGTAAGAGAGACTGCAGTGTGAGCTCACATCATGCAGACATAAAAATCTGCTCTGAAGAGAGACGTAACAAGTACCCAGCTATTGGGAAAAAACTCACCTGACACTCCTAGGCACCACTGAAACATAAATCCATAGCAATTGAGATTTCAATACTTGGCTCACAGAATTTCTTGGTTTTAATGAAATTTGCCATTCTGTCAGCATCACCTGCTGTTGAAAGCAGACTTTCCATCGTACGTAACTCTGCACTGGCCCAGCTCCCATGTGAGCACGCACAGGACTGAGGGGTTGGGACCAGATGTGGGTGACAGTCTGAATGCAGGTAGTCTTCCATGGTCAGATCATGCAGCAGGCAGTGAGCAGGTTTGGGAGTTCTGCTGCTTGCTTTCATTTCCACCCCCACATCTTGATTTGACTAAGATAATAAAATAAGCAAATTTCACGTGTTAAGTACGAGATCTAGTTGGGCAGCTCTTTGACCCTTATCAAGCTGAAAGTGTTTTCCTATTCAGTCGTGTACTTTCCTAGACTTTCATGTCAGCTGCCTCGCTGTGCCCATTCACAGTAAAAGCTTGCCCTGTTTAAGCACCCAGAATGTGTTCATGAGCCTGGAGCTTCAGGTGACTTACGACTCCAGGGTGATAAGGCAAGTCCTTTGTCCCTCCTCCCCAGCTAAGCAAATATTGAGAAGAAAAAGATTTTTGGAAATGGCAAGGCTACATTAAAATAAGTTAAAGCATTAAGGCAAAACATGGAGAAGGGAGATTATTTCCTTGTTGTGGGAATACATTTTTTAAAAATAGTGTCTGAAGTACAGCTGAGGAGATAGGAACTGAGTAAATTTTGTTCAAAATAGATTAATATCATAAAAGCTGATAACATTGTACAATTTAATACCCACTGTAAAAGCAATTTTTCAGTTGCTTAAAGTGTCACTAAGGCAGAGCAAATTATAATCTGGTGCTTCCTGCAAATGTGTTGACACAGTTCATTAAATCAGTCATTCTTCCTGACAGCTCTTCAATACATTTCTGGAAAGTGATTCTCTGAGTGGATTCTTCTCAGTGGATTATACGCAGGATCATTTGTGTGTTACTCTTACCCATTCCAACCTGAAAGGAGGATGGTCGCCTCATCTTTTGTTCTATACCTTAAATTCCCATACAATTCATTAGAAGTTCATCACCTGATTTCTTTCCTTCTCAGAGGTCGTATGTTACCATTAGCTGTAGTTACTCTCATAATCTTATCTTGAAGAGGCGAACCAATTTGAGTCGATTTACGTACCATTATAGAAAGGGGTTTACATACTATTGCAGAGAAAATGTGAAACCTTGACAAGATGAAGCTGCTGATAACCTCTCTAAAATCTTTTCCTTGAAAGCTTTTCACTAGGACACACCTAGAATAACATTCCTGTTTCCAGGGCTAGGCTGAATCTGGTGAGGTGCTTTACTTGAGGGCTTTAAGAGGCTTGCATATCCCCAGTGTCTGGGAAAGCAGAGAGCATCCACCACTCCACGAGACTATATCTATTCTATGTATTTAAAATAGTGAATGTAGGAGTTGATCCTTCCAAGTGTACATCCCGCTTTTGTCTTCAGTGACCCTATTTACAAATTCTAATGTGCTGTTCCAGACAGCATACAGAAATTAAACAAATGGCTGATTGGGTGTCAAGAATAACAAGATGACATTTGCTCTCCCCCCGCCCCCCAAGATATTACTTTTTCACCTGCCATTAGGCTTCTGTAAATATGATCAGGTCAGTTTTCTGGCTGAGCTGAGTCCTGTCCTTTGAGTAATTTCAGTTCTCCGTGTATAAAAGCCTCTTCATGTTTCTGTATACTGCTGACTGTTCTCAAGCACTCATCCCTCATTCTTCATGCACTTATTGAAGTTAAATTATTTTGTTCACACCTGATAATGTACTTTATTTGCAAATCTGATCATTGATATTTCTTTTTTTTTTTTATGTAGAAATGTTCCAGATTAAAAAAAAAGGCAAGGGAAACTTTTTCTTTTATTTTTTTTCCCCTCCAAAAATAATTAACTTCTTTCTTTGATGTTTTCCCCTCCTCCAGAAATAGTGTTAATCATGTAACATCTTCTGCATTTGTGATTCATACTAAGTGCATAATATACCAGTGATGATCGGTATCAATTCTTTGCCCCAGTGTTAGTAAGGTAAGGTAGGGCAGACATCGTCACAGCTAGCTAAGGAAATAGAGTTTCCCCAGCACATGTTGATTTAGTGAGGCCAGACTGTATCTATCAAAGTGTTTGTATTGAAAGAACTTGCACTAAATCCTGGATCCTCTGTCCCTCTCCGGAGAACTTCACGCTTGCAGAGTCTGTTGACACAGCAGGTCTTCGCTAACTTGGAGCATCCTGACTGAAACGGGTCAAGGAGTGCAGCACAAGAACTTCACCAGCGGAGGAGAAAGCATTGACAGCCCAGCATGGTACCTCTTTCCCCCGCACAGCCACCTCTAGAAAACAACAGCTGTGCTCACCTTACATAAAAGCTTAAAGGGGCTGCTACATTCCCCTTCCTAAACAATTCAATTCTGGATGCATGACAAGAAGATTACACGAGTATGCAATATTATAAACAGGGAAAAAATTTTTCTTGCTTTTTTTCCCTTTCTTATCATCCCCTTTTTTGTCCTTCCTTGCCTGAGCCAGTCTATCTTCATAAACTGTTGTTTTCATTTGTCGGTTGTAATTTTTTTCTTTCCTTTTTTTTTTTCATCTTCTTTTCTTGGAAACCAATATAAGGCTGGTGAGGACCTGCTGTTTGGAACAATAAATAAAGTATAGGTATATGTTTCTTCTGCCTTGGGGAAATATGTTGTCAAAATGTTTAAAATATTTCATTGGAGACTGGTTAGAATTCCATGGACAAATATTACTGAAACCTCAATTTTTATTCCCAGCATGTACCGTTTAGCAAATAACATTCTTGTCCAACTTCTAGCAAAGATGTTGCAGCTGCAGTTTTCTTTTCTGCCTTTTCTTGTCTTTGTGAAAATACATCATCACCACTCTGTGGCAGTAAAACAGAGAGGTAACAGTTCTCATCTTTGGCATTTTTTATCATTGTCAAAATAAATACTTGCATCTGTGCAACTTAAATGTGTGTTCCCTTTTTGGAACTAGCAAATATGAACAACAGCAAGCTGTTGTCTGAAAAGAAAACAAATGATTAAGGTGAAATTTATGCTAAAAATTCTTTGTTGCTCAGAAAAACAGAGCTCCCATCACTGAAAATTCAGTCTGCACCTTTAGAAAGGAGGTTGTTGAGGTTACAAGGTTATGATAAAAGCGAGCATGACATTCATGTTACTGAGTTGCTGAGATAGCCATCACCAACTAATATCTTAGCTCCCTAAAAGTGCAAAACGCAGAACTAAAGCAATGAAGTCTGACAGTTGCTACCGTGGGCTGCCCGTTGAAAACGTATTGGAAGAATAGTTAGGGTTTCTGCATAAAAGTTTACTGAAAAGACTCCCATGAGATCTAAGTATATTGAGAAAGAAAACACCTGGAGGAAGAAGACCTGGCTCCACCAGGAGGGCTTCAGGACACTGATGAAACAAAGCACGTTAGAAGCTTGTGGCTTAACAGTGAGGACCACAAAGATGTTTTAAGTAGACTACTGGGGCTGGCCTAAACAAGTGTGTTAAGATCTGAGTAGGAAATAAGGCTGCACACTGGGCTGAGTACATGATTCGTGATACCTGAATCATGTTTCATGAACCTTGAAGTGCTTCATACTCAGATTTTTATGCCATTACAGCAAATAGTGTTCTGCACATCTTCTGGACGAAGATCTGTTTAAGTGTTCACCATTTTAAGTGCCATGAGGAAAGGTTTGTTTTGCTTGTTTATTGCCAGACACAAAAGCTGCTTAATCCTGTTCAGTGTCTCTGAACGCTGCTGCAGTAGGGCCATTCAAAAATAATTGATACATGTTTGTGGATTGCTTCTTACATTTCTTAAGGCAAATTAAATCAAGTTCCATCATACGCTCAAAGAAAACCTGGAATAACACCTTGAGCTCTTCCATTTCCACACGTATCAAAGAAAAGCCTTGACAATACTGTTGAGGCTGTGCTGCTTGTTCGAATGACTGGCAGAGACGCAGGACAGGCTGATCCAACACAACAGGCAAGCGCCTTGCGGATGCAGATGGGCCAAGCCAGAGCTCCTTTACTGAAATACCTTGACCTAATATTGCCAAGAACAAAACGCTGCCATAGATGTGCCAAGAACAAAGACAGTTTACTGGCTGGTTTTTTTTCCGTTTCAGAGACGTGTCTTCTTCCTGTCACAGAGATGCGTCAGGCTGCTGCCTACCGACCCCCAAAGCTGCCCGGAGCTCCTAGTCCCGACTCTGCAGCCCGCAGGTAGCTTCTCTGCTACCTCCAACCCGAGTCTTTGTCACTCATCAGACAGCAAGGCCAGAAACGTGCCAAGCTGGCACCAGCATTCTGCAGCCATCGCTTGTACACTGTGCGATCGTTAGAAGCATTTTTACCTCGTTAAGCATCCAGAGCTCCAGATACCCTGCAGACTTCCCTTCGTGCACATTTAGCCCAACCTGAAGACGGAGAAAGCCGAGGCCTGCCGGCCCGGCCAAGGCCCTGGAGCTGGGCGGGCGTTGCAGAGCTGCTGTCGTCAGCAGCCGCTGCAAGTCCCCAAACGAAAAAACGCCTAGCGGTAACTGCCACCTGTGTTTTACACATCCCGTGCCACTTATCAGTGGTAGGGTGATAGTTATGCTTTTTGTAACTGTGCTACGTAGTGGACGTGTAATTGGTTACTGTTCTATTGCAATTCCCCGGTCCTTTTGCATGTTAGGGGATATCTCTTGGCGTGGCAGCTTGGGGCTTTATTTCATGGGTTTTTAGCTAACAGAGGGAAGAGAAGACCTTCCAATACCCAGAAATTATTCCTACTATTATTATTATTAGACTGTCCAGATGGAGCTCAACTAGTTTAACCGGCAACACTTCAGCGGCGCGAGGCGACTGCTCCACCTGCTGGGTGCCAGGCAGGGCTCCGGGGAGGGCGGCGGGCGGCGGGCCGGGGTGGCGAGGGGCCAGCCTGGGTGCCCGCCCTCCCTCAGCGCCAGGCGGGACCATCTCCCTCAGAGCCCCGCCTGAGGCCGGAGGAATTTCCCGCCCAGGCTCTCCCCCGGTGA